GTCTGTGCACAGCTTTCAAAAACAACGTGTTGGCATTCTAAGTACGGATAAATTATGGATGTGGCGTCTTCTCTTTGGAGTTCATAAGGCTGAACACCGATGACATTTAGGGTTGCGAGATCTGATAGAGAATTGGCGAGTGTGCCTAGGTTAGAGAGTATGACAATTTTTCTCGAAAAAACGACTAGTCTCAGTCACCAATTTTAAGACCAAGTTCAAAGAACTGACCTGCTTACATATCGACCTGCTTACATCCTGACTTGATTAAATTATGACCTGATTACATACTGACTTGCTTGCATACTGACTCTCTTGCATACTGACCTGCACTACATACTGACCTGCATGCATACTGACCTGCTTACATACTGATCTGCATGCATACTGACCTGCACTACATACTGACCTGCATGCATACTGACCTGCTTACATACTGATCTGCATGCATACTGACCTGTTTAAATACAGACCTGCATACTTACTGACCTGCATAAATGCTGACCTGCTAACATAGTGACCAGCATGCATACTGACATACACGCAGTGACTTCCATACATTCTGACATACATAAATACTGACTTGCATACCTACTGCCCCTGTTTACATACCGACATACACACCTGCAGACATATTCAAATCTGCATACAACCTAAATAGTCAATAACCTGTTACTGTTATTGTCATTGTTACTGTCATCTTCACTGATTATGTATGCCGATGTTGTTTGCTTCACCAGTGTGCATTGTTTACTTGACCAGTGTGCATTGTTTACTTGACCAGTGTGCATTGTTTACTTGACCAGTGTGCATTGTTTACTTGACAAGTGTGCAATATTTACTTGACCAGTGTGCATTGTTTACTTGTCCAGTGTGCATTGTTTACTTGACCAGTTTACAATATTTACTTGACCAGTGTGCATTGTTTACTTGACCAGCGTGCAATATTTACTTGACCAGTGTGCATTATTTACTTGACCAGTTTGCAATATTGACTTGACCAGTGTGCATTGTTTGCTTGACCAGTGTGCATTGTTTACTTGACAAGTGTGCAATATGTACTTGACCAGTGTGCATTGTTTACTTGACAAGTGTGCCATATTTACTTGACCAGTTTGCAATATTTACTTGACCAGTGTGCATTGTTTACTTGACCAGTGTGCAATATTTACTTGACCAGTGTGCATTTTTACGTGATCAGTGTGCAATGCTTACTTGAACAATTGTGCGCTCTAGTGCAATGTTCCCTCTAAGGTTTGTTGGTACGTGTGCAAAATCATAAAGTTGTGTGCACATTTTTACAGCATCCATTTTCTTGTGCGCAAAATTTTACAGCCTACAGACACAAACTTAAGTGGAAATTAGCTGCGCGGTGTCTGTGAGATTACTGCGCGGCCGCGCAGCTTAAAGGGAACATTGCTCTAGTGGTATTGTAAAACATTGTGTGCTATAGTGGTATTGTAAAACATTGTGTGCTATAGTGGTATTGTAAAACATTGTGTGCTATAGTGGTATTGTAAAACATTGTGTGCTATAGTGGTATTGTAAAACATTGTGTGCTATAGTGGTATTGTAAAACATTGTGTATTATAGTGGTATTGTAAAACATTGTGTATTATAGTGGTATTGTAAAACATTGTGTGCTATAGTGGTATTGTAAAACATTGTGTGCTATAGTGGTATTGTAAAACATTGTGTGCTATAGTGGTATTGTAAAACATTGTGTGATATAGTGGTATTGTAAAACATTGTGTGCTATAGTGGTATTGTAAAACATTGTGTGCTATAGTGGTATTGTAAAACATTGTGTGCTATAGTGGTATGGTAAAACATTGTGTATTATAGTGGTATTGTAAAACACTTTTGAAAATAACCACAAACAGAAGACGGTTTGTTTCAATATTCACATCAATTTAATTATGTTAGCTCAATGGACATACAAATGACGCAACATGACAGTTAGATTATTGTTATTACAAGGTGACAGTTTGATTATTGTTGTTACAACGTGACAGTTGTCATCCACTAAAACAATCAATTGTCAAATTGTAAAAATAAAACCAATACTAAACAAAACGCTATGTGGATTTTTACATTTTATTTTAAAAGTGCAAAAAAGTTGCAACATTTAAAACAATTTTGAAAAGAATAAAACCTTTTAAAATTGTTCATCTGTAGTCCTATAATTGATTGTTAAGCCTCAGGATTTGCAATGCAGGAACCAATAAATTCAGAGACATTGAAAAATCAGTGTGTAAAATTTTGATGAGCTGTTTACACAGCATTGCATGTACACATTAGATAATGTACACATCAGATAATGTACACATCAGATAATGTACACATCAGATAATGTACACATCAGATAATGTACACATCAGATAATGTACACATTAGATAATGTACACATCAGATAATGTACACATCAGATAATGTATACATTAGATAATGTACACATCAGATAAATATAAAGTTGTTTGATTTAAAGACGGGTAACAAAATTACTTTTTAAGTTTAAAGAGAGTTCTCCACATAATCTTCATACCAAAATCATCATTTTGGGGCGGGGAGCGCATTTCTAAACCAAAGATACAGCTATAAAGTTTGAATTCAAACTTAAATATTTGATTAAAGTGAAACAGAAACTGATGTCGGTCCCAAGAATAGAAATGTAGTCAAACTTTTTTACAAACAAAAAAAATTAGGATGGGACCATAATCATAAATGTACCTAATCTGATCCAATCATTTACTTGGACATTGCTCTTTATAAAAACAGATGATTATCTTCTGTTGAAATACTTAAAGGATGTCATGCGGAATTGTAGTAGGCTAATTCAGAACTGTAATAGGCTAATTCAGAATTGTAGTAGGCTAATTCAGAATTGTAGTAGGCTAATTCAGAACTATAGTAGGCTAATTCAGAATTGTAGTAGGCCAATTGGTGACAAGTGTGCTGCACAGCCTGAGTTAATGGCTAATCTGACTGATTTATTCCTCCCAAAAATAGGCAAGCACAGCACTTTTGAAAAAATATAAATATTTATTTTTAAAGCGAAAAAAATAATATAATTCAATAAGTTCAATAGTTGCTACTGGTGCATAAACAATACAAGTGCCCTGTCATGCAAGAGTCCTGTCATGCAAGTGTGCCATCATGCAAGTGTCTTGTCATGCAAGTGTCCTGTCATACAAGTGTCCCATCATGCAAGTGTCCTGTCATGCAAGTGTCCATGTTGACATTATTATTATCATTTATAATGACTACTTTGAACTTTTGCTAAAAGTTTGTTACCTTGTGCTAAAAGTTTATGTTACCTTGTGCTAAAAGTTAATGTTACCTTCTGCTAAAAGTTTATGTTACCAGGTATTTCAAAATAGAATTGGTAACACTGAAATATGTCCTTTTAAATTTTAAAAGTAATAATTATTGTTTGAATGAATAGTGTGGTCAGGAGCCTAGAAAAACTTGACCAAACTAAAACTAGTCCACAGCATGACTCAAGTTAATCTCTACTTTTGGGCAACGTTCCTTATCAATTATTCCACTAGGCAACATGTGAAGAATTTTTGTTTGAAATGAAATTAAACAAGATCCTTGGATTGGCCTAGGGTTTGAAGTAAACATGGCATGCAACCGACTATGAATACCACAACATTAACATTCCTAAATCAACATTTATTTTGTATTGCCAGTTTCGAAGCAAAATAATTCTAATAATGGTTGGATAATTTGGGCGAAAACTTAAATCCTTTATAATATTTTAAAACATGTTGTGGGCACTGGCGTAGACTCTAGCCTAGACACGGGCCTAGACTCTAGCAGAGACACTGGCCTAGACTCTAGCCTATAGAGAACATTGCTTGCATGAAATCACAGAGCGTCGAATTGTCTCTAAACTCTTGAGTATTGGCACCATATGACCAAACAACACACAGAGGGTGTTCTGGTGGTGTAAATGAAGTCAATCATGTTAACATCTATGACAAAGAAAACTATTGACAAAACAATGTAGAAGTAAAAGGCTGGCATACTCTCTACCTAAACGATGTCATTAAAGACAGACATGAAGTAAAAGGCTGGAAAACTCTCTAACTAAATGATGTCATTAAAGACACACATGAAATAAACCTAATTATACTTGGTGGTAAAATTATTTTGAATTCTGTTGACTTTAAAACTGACACCAAAGACAATTTAAAAGTCACCTGCATTCATAAACATTTGAAAAACATAAAACAATTGGCTCATTCCAACTCATAAAATTAAATATACATTTTGAAGGAAAGGGGAAAAAAAGGATAAATTCAAATGGATCTGAAGTTTGAAACGCTGGTAACACCAAGGATCACGTTTGTGACAAACCAAGGATTACGTTTGTGACAAACCAAGGATCACATTTGTGACACACCAAGGATCACATTTGTGACAAACCAAGGATCACATTTGTGTACATTTATAAAGTAAAGTCAGATATTCTAGCAGATTTGAAACTCCATTTACAAAGATGTGTTTGTACTTGTTAACAACACCGTTCCCTTGTTTCATCTACTCTCAAGTACGTTTTAACAGGCTTCCCTGTCACTTGGAGACATCTCAATGTTTCAAAATCTTTCAAAAATCATCAAACAACACTTTAGTCTTTTAGAAATTTTAAAAGTCTGAAAAATTAAATTAAAATCTGAGGGATGGATATTTTGCATATTCAAAACAATAAAGTGGAAGAATTTTGTAAGTGTATAAAGTAATGTAACTCATGTTAATGTTTTATTTAAAGGTTGCGAACCCCCCCCCCCCCCCCCCAAAAAAAAAAAAAATAAAAAATTAAAAAAAAAAATAAAAAAAAAAAAAAAAAAAAAAAAAAAAAAAAAAAAAAAATAAAATAAAATCTGAGGGATGGATAATTTGGATAATAAAAAAAAAAAAGGGGAAAAATTTTGTAAGGTTTTAAAGTAAAGTAACTCATTTTAATTTTTTTTTTAAAGGTTGCGAACCCCCCCCCCCCCCCAAAAAAAAGAATTTTTAAATATTCTAAAAAATATACTAACAAAATATACCAACAAAATATACTAAATGGATTAGTAAAACATCATGAAGAAAATATAAACCACAAGACCTTGTCATGAAATAATACATTTATGTCTCAAAAGAGTTTTATTTTCATCCTTGTTACTGGAGATGAAAACTGTTTCGGGTAAGTGTCCCTGACGGACAATGAAAAAAACATATAATTTAATGACGGTTACAGATTGCGCAATCTGGCCGTTGGTTGGTGCTGGTTTGTGCAAGAATGCAACAACAACTAAACAACCCCAAAAAATGAGCTGGACATGAAACCAATTGCAGTCAACTCAATGAATGGACGGAGTTTTGTACAGGAATGAAGAGAAATGTGCAGTAGATGACTTCTTGATAACAAAACACATACATCATGAAATAAGACATGGCAGGTTAAGAATCTACAAAAGCTATTAAACTTTTTTGCCATTGCCACACACACACAATTTCTACAATTAATTTTCGAACATGGCAATGGCGTTGTTTTTAAAGAAAATGATAATTAACTAAAAATGACCACACACAAAAAGGGAGGTTACTGGTAAATAGTTGTAAAAAATAACAAAGTGCATGGTAACATATATTTGAGATTATTTAGATGCTTAGAAAAAATAAAATAAATAATACTACAAGAAATACTGAATTAAAAAAGTAGAATGAATCATGAAACTGAATTATTTATATTCCAGGCCATACCTAGAAACAATTTCCTGTCAGTTTGGACTTATAGACTCAATAGTGTTGGAAATAATGTCAGCTTTCAAACATTTAAAACAAAGAGGATTTGGACCTGGACTAATACCATGAGAATAAGTAAGGTGCGAAATAAGGAATTTGGTGAAATCAACCTGCACTGACATTTGGCATATCAACCTGTACTGACAGTGCTTCACATAGCTGATTTCAAAATGTCCTGCCTGACACAGGTGATATAAAAAAATGATTGAAGTTTCCACTCTTTGCCAATCTATCAAGTAAGATTCACTCAACCAGCTAAGCAAGGTCATCAGTCAGAAAGCCAACATTTATACCAGGCTCGCCCAACATCCCTACCACCCATCACTGTTGACAAGCTAAATGCAACAAATGTTGTTAAATTATTTCATCATTTGCATTGTGACAGCATGCTGAGATAGAGATAGTACAGCATCAATGTTTAATCTTTAGTAATCAGCATACTCTAATAATAAAACAAATATGGAATGTTTATGATAGACATCAAATTTGTCACCCAATTTATATTTATCATTACTTTACTATTGTAATGTAGCACTTGTATTTATCTTTACTTTACTATTGTAATTCAGGACTGGTAAGACTGGGACAAACACATTTGCTTTTTTAATTTTAAGGGAGATAAATAAAACTCTTGTCAACAGATACCGTACATGCCAACAACCTTGTTAACAGCTTTTGATTTTTGAAACAGGCAAATATTTAAATAAAAGATAAATGAACATTTCTAAAAATAAAACTGTTTAAAAAAACTGTAATAGCTTTAAGTAGGAGGCAGCCGAGTCAACTTTCTCAATCAAAGTTTTGCCAAATCCCTGGTGTACAAAATATTCATCTAGGTACTCTGTAAGGTAAAATAAGGGCAACCCAGCACAGAACAACATAATCTCAAATCACAGCTTTCTGTTGGATAAAACCAGGGTTTTGATGTCTACAGTGAAAATAAATTATAAACAAATAGTCAATTCTCTTTATGGTCAAACATTTGAATAAAATCTTCTTTTTTTTTTTTTTTTTTTAAAGCCTGACCTAAAATTATTGATTTTATTCCTGTGCGACTTGAATTAAAAATAAAACAATTTACCAAATGAATGATGACACTAGTTAAATAACAAACTATGTGACAGATGCTATTTTTATCCCTAGAAATGCCATGTTATTGACTTACAATGATATTTAAATTGAGCATGGTCAAAATGATGAGTGTTTGAGGCTGTTGTAACCATCACATGACCTGTGACCTTGAACTCAAACTATGTCTCAGACCCAATACGGAACATTACAACTACATTCTCTTGTAAGTCTCAACACTGTGAAGTGTTCCATCATAAATGTCAACACTGTGCAGCGTTCCATCATGCAGCGTTCCATCACAAGTCGTTTGGTCAAAGTTTTCTTACCAGAATGTTATGTTCCAGCTCCACTTGTCAAAGTCATAAAAAAATGGTCAAAATGAATTCAAATAAGAATGAAAGCTTCGCTGCGGATCAGACGTAGAAAATCCGAACTTTGGACACACTGACAACCATGTCTCCGTCAAAAAATCTCGTTTCTATTACAACATGGCCACTGAAATGAGAAGACATTAGATGATATTGAACGCAATAGCTATTCAACTGCAGTATCTACCCTGACATGCATTATGTATCAGGTATAAGAATACAGACAAACCATCTAACATGCATTCTGTCAGGTACAAGAATACAGACCAACCATCTGACATGCATTCTGTATCAGGTACAAGAATACAGACAAACCATCTGACATACATTCTGTATCAGGTACAAGAATGCAGACAAACCATCTGACATACATTCTGTATCAGGTGCAAGAATACAGACAAACCATCTGACATACATTCTGTATCAGGTACAAGAATACAGACAAACCATCTGACATACATTCTGTATCAGGTGCAAGAATACAGACAAACCATCAACACTTTGCCTTAAGAGTTCAGACTGTGATCAGAAGGACTTTCCAAACTGTAATACTAGTTGTTATTCATCAAAGAAATCATAACCAGCTCCATCTTCCCTCACTTACAATAACAATGCAATGAAAGGACAAGTTTAACATTCACATGTCGGAACAAGTTTTACATTCACATGTCGGAACAAGTTTTACATTCACATGTCGGAACAAGAAAAAATAAGGATACAAACAAAATTAACACCATATTGCTAAGCTGAAGCTGATTGATGATCTCCCAACCCATGGGAGGCAGTTGCTAAGCTGAAGCTGATTGATGATCTCCCAACCCATGGGAGGCAGTTGCTAAGCTGAAGCTGATTGATGATCTCCCAACCCATGGGAGGCAGTTGCTAAGCTGAAGCTGATTGATGATCTCCCAACCCATGGGAGGCAGTTGCTAAGCTGAAGCTGATTGATGATCTCCCAACCCATGGGAGGCAGTTGCTAAGCTGAAGCTGACTGATGATCTCCCAACCCATGGGAGGCAGTTGCTAAGCTGAAGCTGATTGATGATCTCCCAAACCATGGGAGGCAGTTTCCAAAGATGACATTTCCCACAATGCACCGCACCTTCACTAGTCTTTGATGTGTTCAATCTTTTTCAGTGTTCCTCAAACATTTTTTGCCCCTTGGCCCAGTTATTTTGTATACTTTTGCTTCATGACCCACTTAAATTTGTATCATTGGTACTGGCTATATGTAGCACATAACAGTTTTCATCTGTTACAATTACCAACAATTAACTCTTACAAAAAGGGTTGAGAAATTAAAAACTGAGAAATAATTTATTCAAATGAGTGTCAAAGTTTTCTTGTTAACCACTTTGCTACCGATGACGTCGACGCGACGTCACCGTCACCCACTTTCAAATATCAAGGATGTCACATTGTCGTCATAACAAAAAGTTAAAGAGCTTTTCTGAAATACCAAGGACGTCACGTCGACGTCAAATTTCAATGCTGTACATTTCCTTATTCGTTCATCTATAGAGAAGTTAAAAATCGAATCGGATAGAGAATGAAATATACCGAAAATTTCATCTTTTTTTTTTTTTTTTAAATATTGTTTATTATTATTGCCAAGTCAGCAAAAATCGATGCGCCCCCCCAAGGGGTTAACTAAAAATTTTAGCTTATGAGAAAAATTTGAAAACTCTATTCTTAGATCTTGTTCCACTTGCATTCAATTACTAGATTTATTTTTTGGAACATCTGTTTTAATAAGCCCAGGTCATACAGGACATGATGAAAGGTATTAGAAATGTAACCCCTTTTCTACTAAAACCTGGCTTAGTCTGACAGAGAAGGACATGATGAAAGGTATTAGAAATGTGACCCCCTTTTCTACTAAAACCTGGCTTAGTCTGACCAGAGATTCCCAAATCCATCAGTGGTATTCTGTTCAAGATTTCTTTGAGTGTGGCATCACATAACAGCATCAATATTTTATATGTTATAAATTGTACACATGAGAGGATACGTACATACATGAAAAGATAGGTGCAGTTAAAAGCCATGTCATTTTGTTCAGTGTGGGAAAGCTCTTCATAAATGCTGCATTGCACCTGACACTGCCAGGCCATGCTAATGGTCTTCATCCCCCACAAATGGTCAATCATACAAGCTCCATCCAAACTCAGTCAAAAACAAAACAAACAAAAAAAAACACCTAACTTTTCTTCTTTTGACCACCTGGTCATTTTTATTTGTATCCCTGAGCGTGGTCGTCACCTGAAAACTATGATCTACTTAAGTTTTCATCACAGTGCAAACCTCTATAATTAGTTCTATATCCATACACAGTATGTTAAGAGTGAAAGTAAACTATAACACCTACTTTAAGATATTAGCAGGCATCATTTGTCCTTCTGGTGCGGCTTCTATCAATGACTGCCATGTATTAGTCGATCCAGGAATAACAAAACCAAACTCAAAGAACCACTCTGTCAAATTTACAGGGACAAAAAAATATTGTTTTAAATTAAATGCCAAATAATGACTCACAAAATGTTGGCACAGAGAGAGAAGAAATAGGTTCAGCTCAACTAGAAAAAATGTCTTTCACAGCCATCATTTTGTTATCCAACTTTCACAGCCATCATTTTGTTATCCAACTTTCACAGCCATCATTTTGTTACCCAACTTTCACAGCCATCATTTTGTTATCCAACTTTCACAGCCATCATTTTGTTACCCAACTTTCACAGCCATCATTTTGTTACCCAACTTTCACAGCCATCATTTTGTTATCCAACTTTCACAGCCATCATTTTGTTATCCAACTTTCACAGCCATCATTTTGTCACCCAACTTTCACAGCCATCATTTTGTTATCCAACTTTCACAGCCATCATTTTGTTATCCAACTTTCACAGCCATCATTTTGTCACCCAACTTTCACAGCCATCATTTTGTTATCCAACTTTCACAACCATCATTTTGTCACCCAACTTTCACAGCCATCATTTTGTCACCCAACTTTCACAGCCATCATTTTGTTATCAAACTTTCACAGCCATCATTTTGTTACCCAACTTTCACAGCCATCATTTTGTTACCCAACTTTCACAGCCATCATTTTGTTACCCAACTTTCACAGCCATCATTTTGTTACCCAACTTTCACAGCCATCATTTTGTCACCCAACTTTCACAGCCATCATTTTGTTACCCAACTTTCACAGCCATCATTTTGTCACCCAACTTTCACAGCCATAACTTTGTTACACAACGTTCCCAACAATGTATTAATTGAACTTTAAAATAATAGTTGGCACCGTTAAAGATGATGATATTTTTATAAAGACAAAAAGAAATTCAGCTTTTCATCCCATTTCCAAACATGGCTACCTACCCTATAGACATAACATGGCTACCTACCCTCTAGACATTTGCCTTTAAACAAAACTCTCTGTTCTAGTCTGAATTTGTCCATGGGTTCTTTAGATGAAAAATTGATTTCTCTTGAAACTGCTCTGCATTTAAGTATCTTTTTGGGGACTCTTGCTATTGTAGTAGAGGAACAAAAAAAGATTTAAATAAGGTTTGGGGGAAGAGAAGAGTTAGATAAATATGTTCAATTGGAATCATTGAGAGGAAAAGGCAAATAACATAACATAGTACTTGAAAATTACAGAAAAATATGTCTCTTTAAAGAGGGAATTCTGTATTAAATACACATGCTCTCAAACTTCTAAAACTCACAAACCGATTTATAGAAGCAAAGTGACCCATGACCCCAATTTTATAGAAGCAACCGGTCCATTAAATTTGTTAAAAGTTTGTAAGCTTAAACACATAAAAAATAGATACATCATTATGAACAAATTCGAACTTTATTAAACTTTAAACCAGTGGTTCTCAAAGTGGGTGGTAAAATAATCCACAGTGGGGGGCGCGGTAGGTTTACTTAAGGGGCGCAGTACATTTTGCTATGCAAACTTTAAAAAAATCAAACATTCTAAAAAACAATAAATTAATAACACCATTTGATTTTCAAAATTTAAAAAAAATTTGTTAACAGATATCACTCAGAAAAAATACATGCACTCTGACACACTGGAAAAAGACCTTTGACCTTTTCAACAATAATTGTATACATAGCAAGGGCAATGAACAAACAACCCTAATATATTGATTTAAAAAGAGTTGCCCAGAGAGGTATTTTAAAAAACATTACTTGGGGCACAGAAATCAAATAGTGGAATCTAACTTGTATTATTTCTATTATGTTTTAGTGTTCATGAAAATCCTTGTAATGATGCTTGATTCAGATGTCCAATAAACAATGGTAATACAAGGGATCAGATACTGAGAGGGCACAGTGAGATTATATTTTAATTAGAATTTTAAGGAGAACTGATTCATCTAAAAAAAAATTCATTTGTTCTTCATGTCAGAAAATCTAAGGCTGCGAAATTTTTTTTAAGGAAAAAGAAAAACTTACATAAAATCTGTATATTTTAAGACAATTATTTTAACTAAAATTTCTTCCTATGTCTATGGTTCTACTGACCTAGTCTACCCACATTATAATTAACTTTGCTTTGAAATTGATAATATTGTAACCATGTGATATCATTTCATAGTGTCTGTTGAGTGAGTAGTTATAATGTGGGGAGGGCATAGTATCTCTGATGTCACATCATCCCTATTCAAACCTTTTGTTTATTGATATAATCTTAAGCTTTCATGATGTTATGGATGCATAGGCCTAAACAATTATTAAGAAAATGTTTAATTTGAATTTAGCTTTTATAGTAACAGACCTATTTACTCTTACGATTTTGGCGTAAAGTGTACGATTTTGTGGTGTATACATTATATATACTGTATGTTTATTTTTTTACTATTAAGATAACGTATTAAGTGATTTTGTGATGATATTTTACGATTTTAAGGGTGTTAGGGTAAACAGGTCTGTATTAATAACAATAACAGCAGAAAAATTTTTTAACACATGGGAGAGAAAAGTTCTCTGGAAAATATACGGACCAACAAAGGATGAATATTGATGGAGAATATGAACCAACAAGGAATTGAACAATCTATATCAGGATCCCACGATAGTAGCAGAAATAAAAAAAGGGTAGGCTATGCTGGGAAGGACACTTAGAGAGAAGGCCAAATGACAGAGGAGTGAAAAGGGGGAACCACCAAAACCCCAGAGGAAAACAGCTCAAAGGCAGACCTAGGGTTAGATGAGGGATGATGTGGAAAAAGATCTACAGCGGCTGGGAATCCAAGCATGGAAAAAAAGCATCAGTTAGGTCTGAGTGGGAAGTAGTGAGGCAGGCCACAGGGATGGAATATTAATATTAAATTTCAGAAAAAAAACAACAGAAACATAGAAAAAAGGTGGATAATTCAGTTTGGAAAATCTTATAGGCATTGATTTATACAAGCACCAACAAACAAGCAGATGCCCATGTGACTAAATGTGAAAAAGTATTTTATAATGAGGCAATGATGTCTTCCAGGCTGAAATAACATTTGAAGAAGACACATCCTAACAAGGCAAAAAAAGAACTTAATATATTTTTAATCACTTTGTGACATACTTCAAAAGAGAACCACACGTTTGACTATGTTTTGCAATATCAATATGTCTTAAAAAAAGCACAGATGATTAGCATGCCTCATATGGATTTCATGATTGATAGTCAAATCTTTAAAGCCCCGTACAATCAGTGAAGAACTCATCCTACCAGCAGTTAGTGAAGTTTTCAAAACTGTTTTCCATACGCCACCAAGCAATAAAAAATAAGATGATTTTTTTCAGTAAAAATTCAGTGCAAAAAGCGTATGGAGGAAATAGCTGGGAAAATTGAAGATAACAGAATTTACATTACATCTGGTGAGTCAACCTTATCATGCATTAAATATTTGCTTATTGTTTCAGCTTGTAACCCTACAGAAAACCCTATGTGACTCTAATAGGGGATAAGTGCCAGGGATCTAGTAGACGCATGAATATTTTATTAATATTCGTTTCTAAATTTCTCTACAAAGTACACTGCAATTAATAAGCTTTACTGAAAAAATGGTGATGAATGATAATGGTAAATATTGGTAGCAGTTTACCTTCATGCTCCTTTTCTGGCATGGAACTGTAAAAGATAAAACAGAATTACATTATAAGATTCTTACAATCTGCGCAAATGAGGCAATTAACTTGTTATAATGAAGCTCTAAAAGGAAAAAGCAAGAATATAAAAAACCTTACTATGACGGCATGAGACTTTCAATATTATATTACACCTCAACTTTTATATTAACCATGAAAAATAGCAATATTAATTGATCGAGGAATTCTGCCACTTATTTTTAAAAGCATTTCTTCACAACAAAGATATTTTCACTTAATTTATTACAGACAAGAATAGATTTTTTTTAACACTATTTGATATAAACAAGTTGGAGGATGTCTTTCGATGAGGAGTTAAATGAATAAATGCAGTAACCTAAAAGCATATTTATTTTATTTGCATAATAACTTAGTGGCTGTCTATAAATGAAAATAATGCATTGGTAAAAAGAGGGGGGGGGGCACATATTTGTGAAGATTTGTGATAAGGGTGTCTAAATTGAGTGTGAAAGATTTGAAATTGGGTAAAAATCGGCTAAAATGGCATGATTTTATTTAAGGATGTCCCATTACTTAACCCATATGAAATAAGATAAATAGCCTAATTAATTGTAACTCACAGGTCATCACTAGACTGCCATAAAACTTTCCCAGTATCAGCATCTCTTAGATTCATCCAGTTTCTAATGTTAATGCTAAGGAAAATATAGGCAGACTATTGTACATTAGCATTTGAAAAGTTCTATCATTCTTCTATGTAAAAACGGGTCAATTTCCGCAATTCGTGCCATGACGTGTATCAGGGTAGAATTCTCTCCCTTTTGTTTAACTTTGTGTTGTTGCATAGTTGACTTTTTCTTATTACAGTGATGCAATGTTTTAAATTAAAATTTCCTCAGTCGGTTAATTATAATATTACAATTTTCCAGCATTTAATAAAATGGGTTTAATTATTGTATTCCATTGATTTTCTGACAACTTTTAGATTTTCTGATTGGTGGAACTAAAATAAAGTGTGTAAAAGTGTTTTCTAAATAACTGTAAGTTGGGTTTTCATTATTTAAAAATGATTTTGTATTGCTTTTCTTCATTTTTACAGTTTTCTAACCACAGTGTGTAACTGTAGCCACACACATATCTTAGCTTTAGTTTTTGTTCAGGAAAACGAGCATGTACCAGCTGAAATGTACTGTTCTCTGCCACAACTTTTTCTTGAATTCCTCCCATTCCTATCTAATCGAACTTCTCTCTGTCTATTCACAGCTTCGCGCCTAGTATATTTTTTCTGTCCCCAAGACTCGCACAAAAGCATACGGTGAATGATCGTTCTCTTTCCTTGTCCGTAAACAATGGAATTATCTTCCATCACACATCCACAATATACAACCATCACAGCCTTCAAAACTTCACTCAAACACATCTTTTTAAACTCTATTATTCTGACTGATTCCCACCTCTGACCGAATAACGATGCTACTGGGTGTCATCCATGGCTTGACATGTAAATAGTTTTAAACATACATTTGTTTTGTTTTATTTAATTAATGTATGTCAATTTATTTTTTAAAGTTTTTTTATTATGTTTGTTAAATTGTATGTACAGCGTGGTGAGCCCAGCCCTAGGCCGGGATACCACGCTATATAAAGCCACTTATAACAATAATAATTTCATCAGGGAAAGGGGCAACCACAGGTCATTAAGACTTCTTGCCAAATATCTATATGGATACAATAAAGAAGCTACGTTCATCAAAAAATAATTTATGTACTGAAATTTTTTCAATAAATATTAACATTTTGTCCTATTTTCGTTTCTCTTGGTAAACAGCTAAACCAGCACATTCTCTCCCTTTTCCCACCCCATTTTAGCAGATGTGTTATTTGCAGGGCCACCACTTGGTTGCCATGACACGTCACAGGTCATGGCAACCAAGGTGGCAGCCATGGGAAACATCATGGGGCGGATAGTGTAAATTTAACAAAAAAATATCAACTTAGCTCATACTACTACTAAACAAAAATTGACCAAATTGCCTCACGCCTCACAGCAATCACAGTCATCAACAAACTCATCAAACAGTAACTAGTAACATGTAGAATGTAGGCCAACTTAAATAATTTAACTCACTGTAGCGTTCAATGCTTACATGCTATAAAACTATTCTTTAATTTAAACTAATGAATATTAATGACAATAATGATAATCAGAGTCAGAGGCTTCAAACTCATCTAATCAAGTTCTGAGAGAGCAGAATCAGTGCAGACTACACTCCGCATTCATAAAGAAAATATGAAATATAAATGAAGTAAATAGCCCTGGGCTCTAGGCATATAAAAAAGGGAGAGAAAAAAAAAAGGGTTTGTCCGGTGAATGAATTATAATTATAACGTATCCACACCAAGTCCAAGCCAAATAATTGAATGTGAATAGTCAATATAGTACTATTAATCTAGCCTATTTTATTATTATTTTGTCATTTTATAATTGAAGTTGTATTCATTAATTTTCTGAAGCAATAACACCTGATTATTAGGGTGTTTCAAAGGATACAATTTAAATCCTTTCATTATGTCTTCTGGTTTTGAAGGCATTTTTTTGAGAATCAAAACAAAGAATGTTTTTGCTTTGAATCCGAAAGATGGCTGGTTTACGCCAAATGCCGAAATTGGTTTCCAAAGATTCTGTCAACAATCCAATATGGTGGCTATTGAACTTCCGGTTACGTCATAGAAAATAATTACCACAAAAAAAGTATACAAATACAGCTATTATAGAATTTTAACATAATGAAGTGAACGTATTTAAAAGATTCTTTTGTAACAATTATCTTATTGAAATAAACCGTAAAATTTAAAAGGAGTAGAGGTAAATGGCCTTATTGTAAAAAAGAAAATAATAATTTAAAAGTAATAAAATAGTCAATCAGGGTAAAAAGTCTAACTCTCTAAAGGAAAAAATAGGATAACTGTGATAAGGCCTGTGTTAGAAAAGGGAGCGTAGGCTTAATGAATTTTTTAAGCATTCGATATTTAAATTTAAAGCAGTAAATAATTATACTTTTGTCGATAATTTAAAGATTACAACTTTAATAATAAAAAGTAGCAAATAAAAATTTAATAATAAGAAATATCTCGGCCCATATGAAAAAATCTTTAAAAAAAAATAAAATAGAAACTTTTTTTTTAAATCAAAGACGAGTTTTAACGCACCTATAAATGGTCGCATCAGATCGCATTTTAATCTTCAGATGCACGCCTTAATCTTATTTTAAAAGATATGAAAATGATGGAAACATTTTAACTGAATCTGACAATGGATTTGTCTATGTGCTTAGTAGGTTATTGAATAGTAGTCATGTCATGTTGGTTTAAAGCTAGGGACTAGGGGTCAGCAAACTTTTTGACGAGACCCGGTAAGATAGACTGTTTGGTCACTGTGAGCCTGATTTATGGTGACCCACATGACAAAACTGAGTTGAAAACACATCTTTTTCGCACTCGCCTGCTGGGGTGATGTAGTCTACCTCCTTGTTTCCAAAGGAGCTTGCTCATATTCATCGATGTATAGGCCTATTGGCTTGTATTGTCCATTGGCTTGTATGTAGATAATTTTGTATTGTTGTGTGTGTTGTTTGTTTTTTTTAATTGCGCTTCGAGCCTTAATTAGGGATGAAGCGTATTTTTGAAATGAACTTTATTATTATTATTATTATCATTATGTATGCTCGGAGTCTCTCCCAAATTTTTATTTTATAAAAACGCAAATTGAAACAATGTAAGACACTCTTTTTGTGTTCCCTTGTCAAAATGCAACATGTCAGAAATAAGAGTGTTTTTATGACAGAAATTATATCAATGGAACTGAGACTTCAAATAAAATAATAATATCATTAGACGAAGCAATATTTGAATGGCACAATCGTCTGTGTGACGTCAGGAGGAAGCTCGTGCTTTTCAGACACAGTGACTTTTAGTTGAGGTGAGAAGTTTATTAGTACTGGTACTCACTGTCATCAAAATTGTTCGCAAGTACTCATCTGATAAGACTGCTCTGTACTGATCCGATAAGACTGCTCTGTACTAATCGGATAAGACTTCTCTGTACTCATCTGATAAGACTGCTCTGTACTCATCCGATGAGACTGCTCTGTACTAATCTGATGAGACTGCTCTGTACTCATCTGATGAGACTGCTCTGTACTGATCCGATAAGACTGCTCTGTACTCATCTGATGAGACTGCTCTGTACTGATCCGATAAGAATGCTCTGTACTAATCGGATAATACTTCTCTGTACTCATCTGATAAGACTGCTCTGTACTAATCTGATGAGACTGCTCTGTACTAATCTGATAAGGCTGCTCTGTACTAATCCGATGAGACTGCTCTGTACTAATCTGATGAGACTGCTCTGTACTAATCCGATGAGACTGCTCTGTACTAATCCGATAAGGCTGCTCTGTACTAATCCGATGAGACTGCTCGGTACTAATCCGATGAGACTGCTCTGTACTAATCCGATGAGACTGCTCTGTACTAATCTGATAAGGCTGCTCTGTACTAATCCGATGAGACTGCTCTGTACTAATCCGATGAGACTGCTCTGTACAAGAACCACACATGACAAGGCCCTCGAACGAGCATCATGCGTTACAATCCGTTTGTCGCCCCCCCCCCCCCCCTTTTCTAACCCCTGGTAGACGGGCGTTTGGGGGAATTCGGGAGGCGACAGTAGTGAGCACTAATACTAATACTAATATACTCTACATATTAGTAGAGGCTCTAAAGAACAATACTCCTATACGGTGGGATCTAATACTAATGGTAGTAGAGACTCTAAAGAGCAATACTCCTATACAATTTGCACTAATACTAGTGGCAGTGGAGGCTCTAAAGAACAATACTCCTATACGGTGGGATCTAATACTAGTGGCAGTGGAGGCTCTAAAGAACAATACTCCTATACAATGGGCACTAATACTAATGGCAGTGGAGGTTCTAAAGAACAATACTCCTATACAATGGGCACTAATACTAGTGGCAGTAGAGGCTCTAAAGAACAATACTCCTATACAGTGGGCACTAATACTAGTGGCAGTAGAGGCTCTAAAGACCAATACTCCTATACAATGGGCACTAATACTAATGGCAGTGGAGGCTCTAAAGAACAATACTCCTATACAATTTGCACTAATACTAGTGGCAGTGGAGGCTCTAAAGAACAATACTCCTATACAGTGGGCACTAATACTTGTGGCAGTAGAGGCTCTAAAGAACAATACTCCTATACAGTGAGCAGTGGCGTAGTGAGGGTGTTTGGCGCCCGGGGACAAGATTCGCGCCCGGGGACAAGATCCATTTTAAAGCGCCCCTTTTTCTTTTTTTTCAACTCTCAAACCCATTATTTTCATCAATAAAATAATATCAAAGCACATTCTGGCGTCCGGGGACATATGTCCCCCCTCCCCCTGCTCCCACCACGCTACGCCTCTGACAGTGGGCACTAATACTAATGGCAGTTGTTAAATATTCGTGTTTAAGTTTTTTAAACCAAAGGTCCCTTCTTTTACTTTAGATTAGTATGGCCAATAGGGCTATGTCTAAGGTATGATTAACTTCCTAATGAAGTATTCTTCACTAATCGCACTCCAGGCTCACTCTAACATTCAGCGACACACTCACTAGCTCTCACTTCTATTAATACTTTAACTTTACTAATTAAACAAAGGTGGTTCAGCCCACAAATAAAAATTTAATTATAACAAAAAAGAATTCTCTACATAATAATAATAATAATAATAAAGTTCATTTCACAAACACGCTTCATCCCAAAGGCTCGAAGTGCGGTAAAAAGTCAACAAAAAACAAATCTATAATTTACCACATTTAAAACAAACGCAACACTACAAAAACCAATTACAAGCATACAATCTCAAAGTCTTTCTAGTCATTTCAACCCTAAGCAACACAGCCATTATGCATTAACTGGAAAATAAGGTAGACAATCATCCCAGAAGGTGTTTGCGAAATAGATGTGATTTAAATCGGTTTTAAAGGACTCCAGTGTCTGGTTGTCTCTGAGATCGACAGGAAGGGCGTTCCAAATTGTTGGACCAGCAAATGCGAAAGTGCATATACGATACCTGGTCTCAGGTCACTCGCACTGCGGCGAAGCGATAGGTGTAGACTTTTGATACCGGTGGGTACACACGCACACACGCTTCACGTGGAGAAACAATCTTTAGGCCTCTAGGTTTCTCACCACTTTTTTAAGGGTAAAGCCTTTAGTCTGCAGATACTGCTGTGTAAGATTAACTTCCTCGAGTAGATCAGCCCAATGTAAAGGTAGCATATAAACGTGAAATCACAGACAGCATGTAAAGGACCGTGTTCTGTACCTTTTGTATCTGAATATTCAAGAGGATTAAACAGAGTTTCAATCACCGCCGCACATTCATCAAACTAATCTTTCAATGTTTTAACAGCAGCATGATGAGCTCTCCAACTCGTTATTGACAGTCTTTTTACCGACATCCCAGTGGTGTGTTCAATTAGAACATTCCATCGATGAGTGGATGCAGCAAACAAGGGAAAATATTCTTTCAAGAGTACCGAAAAATGTAATACATGAAGCATTTTCTGCAAAAGAGTGTTGACCACACAAGTTAAGTGAATTTCCCACACATGTATTAAAAATTGCATTCTTTTAATATTTCTTTTCATAATGGCCTCAACACCTCCATGGATTCCAGACATTGTGGCAGCATTATCGTAACCTTGAGCTCTGAACATCATTATTTCTAGTCTATAAAGTTTTAGATTTTTAAGAATTTCAGAGCTGAGGTCATCAGCTTTTTCCCCTCTTAACGGGAAAAATGCAAGAACACATCTCTCACTTCAACTTTCCCATTGTTGATGTTCACATATTATCTGATCACTTCGGGCATCTGATCACTGTGTGACATTTCAGGTGTACTTTCGAACATAATTTCAAAATACCTTGCAGCCTTTAAATCCATGAAAAGAGTCTAATTCACATGATGTGCGAGGACATTTTTAAAATCATTTTGGGTTTCTTGTGTAAGATAAGATGCGGATGCTTGTTCTGTAGATGTGCTCGTCTTTAGTCTCATTTGGTGCTCTTTTAGCACTGGGTCATATTTAGATAACATGTCAACCATTTCAAGAAAAATTAAGTAAAGACTCAACTTCGTTGTGGACACGAAAGGCAAGATTTTGTTTTACAGGAAACAATGTGATATCCAGCAACCTGTGCAGGATATCCCTCCACTTTTTCTTCTCCCTGTCAATCACAGCAATACTTTCGGCATCAATTGTTTTGTGTATCCTAAGTCCTGCTGCCAATGCTACATAGGCGCTCTCCCGATGTCTCGTGATTTTGTAATTTTGGGCTCAGTTTCCACCACTTATCAAAGCCAGTAACAAATGTGGATGTTGTTTCTATAACAATAACAGCAAACAATCTGCAGCAAAAACAATACAATATCTGACTGACGAGTGAATAAACCATCCACGACCGCAGTATTTTCTTGCCATTTTGAATCATCCCTTAGATCCATTGATTTTTTTAGCTGGCAAACACCTCCTTTAGATTTCACATTTAGCCTTGTCACTACGCTGAATAGTCCGTCCTTGTTCTGAAACGAGGTGCTTCATATTTTAATAGGTTCAGACCGAAAAAATTTCCCTAAAGGTATATGAGGTACGTATCTAGTGCATCTTTTAAAATGTGCCATTTTTTGTCATTAACCATTACACGTACAGTATTGTGGTTTGAATCAACATTATCACCAAACCATCCCATCAACATTATCACCAAACCATCCCATCAACATTATCACCAAACCATCCCATCAACATTATCACCAAACCATCCCATCAACATTATCACCAAACCATCCCATCAACATTATCACCAAACCATCCCATCAACATTATCACCAAACCATCCCATCAACATTATCACCAAACCATCCCATCAACCTTATCACCAAACCATCCATGTCTTTGGGTTGGTTACATTTATGGAAAATGTAAGTGTGATCGGTTATACTTTTATGAATCTCGGTTGTGTGTGCTCAGATTGCTTTGTAAATATGCAATTTTTCAATTGGGTGTCACCCCTAAAATGGTGTCACCCGTTGCGGTCCGCACCCCCCGCACCCCCCCTCGCTACGCCACTTGGCAGGGGTCCCCTTAATTTAAAAATAATAAATTCAAAATGCATTGTGGTGCAAATTCAATGTGTCTTTCGGACAATGTGTGAGGGGGCATTTCAGACTTTCATTTATTTACTATTAGATGTCTCGTGGAGAAATGCTAAGAATGCAACATCAACATACACCAAATATATGTGGACTACAAATCAGCTTATGATAGCATAGACAGGAAATACATGCACGATGCTCTCCTGGAACTTGGAGTCCCTAACAAACTTACCCGACTCATACATATGACGTTGGATAACTCCAAAAGTAGAATCAAAGTACAGAGAGACAGAAAGAGAGAGAGAGAGAGTACTCGAGGGAGTTCCCAAATAATCAGGGCCTCAGACTAGGAAATCCATGTTTCATTTTTATCATCCCATTAGAAACATACATGTGAGCACCGGAGAGGTAGTACAGAACAACAATAAGGAACTTTATAAAGCCAGCCACTGCAATACCTGGCATACACAGATGATATAGCGCTACTTGGTAGAAACAGCAATGACATAATTAAAGCTTTCGGGGAACTTGAAGATGTCACGGTCAAAGCTCGTCTTGATGTAAATAAGGAAATCGTATAAAAATAAAGTTAAATTCCTCAATATTTAGATAATTGAAATGTTAATCTAGATTTTCAAGCTACTATAATTTGCCTCAGATCAATTACAACTTGCCTCTTCGATATTATAGTTTAAAACAATTTTTTTACCAATTCCATAGAATTTATTTTTAACTACTACAAAAAATGGCATTTATAAGATAATCGAAAAACTGCATTTTAAAAAAGAAATTCGTTTTTAAATTTGTATATTCTTTCTACTGGATTATCATCTAAAAATGATTTTTTTTTTTTGGTATAAATAGTTCAAAAAAGCTTGGGAAGATTGTTTATTATTCTCAAATTGAGCAGAGAAAAGTCGTTGGGAATATAATATTTAAAGGCTTTGTATTTTTTAAAAAATAAATAATTTTAATCTGTTGTTCCCGAAACTGTTTTACAAAATTAGAAACGCACTCGATTTAATAGCACTAAAGGAATTTCCACTATTTGCATGCAGCCGGTAAATGATGTCTAATTTTTTGTTTTAAAGTATCGTTTTTTTTGGGGGTGTTTTTAAAAAAAAAAGTTTCATTTGATTCAACTCAATATACATGGTTGGAATCGACTACAATAAAATGTTAGCTAAAAACGATGTTTTTTTTTAAAGTTTCATTTGATCCAACTCAATATACATGTTTGGAATCGATTACATTAATGTTAGCTAAAGACGTTGTTTTTTTAAAGTTTCATTTGATCCAACTCAATATACATGGTTGGAATCGACTACATTAAAATGTTAGCTGAAGACGTTGTTTTTTATTTTCAAAAAAGCATGATGCTATTATGTTTTTATAATTAACACTCATCTCTACTTTAAGCGTCATTCTTTTATGAAGGAATATAATTTGAAAACATGTTTCACGTGTTAATTACTTAGCAATAACCATATTCGATTAATAGACATTTATATCGATGTAAAGGTAGTTAAATACGGTGTTATTAACGGCTGCAAAATATAAATAAATACAAAAACTGATAAATGCGAATAAGAAAAGTATACATTTGGCTTACTATCGGGAGCGGCCAATTTGCAAAAGAATACGATATTAATAATCGAATTCTGTGAGCCTGTAACAAGATTAACTTGAACGATATGGATCATCAATATACATCGAACAAAGCGATATTTTTATTGGTTCCATTAATTTTAAACGACCAATGGCACACATTTAACATGTACTTTAAAAATGTAAAAATTTTATAAAAAATTAGTTTTTTTTTTTTAAATTATACATTTTTATTAAAACATTATTTTTTCTTACACATCCCCCCCCCCCCGCGGGGGTGTCAAAAATAATTTTTTTTTTTTAAATTATAACATTTTAATAAAACATTTTTTTTTCCTTACCAACCCCCCCCCCCCGGCGGGGGTGTCTTGACTTGCTACGGGGAGGGGGGGTAGTGCCCCTCCCCCCCTGAGGTATGCCTGACATAAACCAGACGCTGGCCACGGTCACGCTGGCCCTGGTCACGGTGACCAGGTTAATTTCCATTGTTCACGGAGTCCTTGATATTATCTTAAGGCCTGCCTAATTGTGTAATCTCACTTGGGGTCGCAATGGAGAGATCGTGAGCCAGCGGGTCTCACTAAGGTGAGGACCAGCGTGTCTCAACAGCAGTAGAGGGTCTAAAGAACAATACTCCTATACAGTGGGCACTAATACTAATGGCAGTAGAGGGCCTAAAGAACAACACTCCTATAAGAAATTGTCTTGTTAGTTATTTTTATTTTTAAACATAATTTCTTAAGATCGGGTCCCAGAGAATTGCCCGGAAGTTATCCTAAGGTGGGCACCATGGTATCACACACAGCACAACCCATATATCCAAAATACACGATACAACCTATAGACCTGTTTACAAATACACGATACAAACCATATATCCAAAATACACGATACAACCTCTAGATCTGTTTACAAATACACGATACAACCTATAGACCTGTTTACAAATACACGATACAACCTATAGACCTGTTTGCAAATACACGATACAACCTATATATCCAAATACATGATACAACCTATATATCCAAATACACGATACAACCTATAGACCTGTTTACAAATACACGATACAACCTATATATCCAAATACACGATACAACCTATAGACCTGTTTACAAATACACGATACAACCTATATATCCAAATACACAATACAACCCATATATCCAAATACACAATACAACCTATAGACCTGTTTACAAATACACGATACAACCTATACATCCAAATACATGATACAACCCATATATCCAAATACACGATACAACCTATAGACCTGTTTACAAATACACGATACAACCTATAGACCTGTTTACAAATACACAATACAAACTATAGACCTGTTTACAAATACATGATACAACCTATATATCCAAATACACGATACAACCTATAGACCTGTTTACAAATACACGATACAACCTATATATCCAAATACATGATACAACCTATATATCCAAATACACGATACAACCTATAGACCTGTTTACAAATACACGATACAACCTATAGACCTGTTTACAAATACACGATACAACCTATAGACCTGTTTACAAATACACGATACAACCTATATATCCAAATACATGATACAACCTATATATCCAAATACACGATACAACCTATAGACCTGTTTACAAATACACGATACAACCTATACATCCAAATACATGATACAACCCATATATCCAAATACACGATACAACCTATAGACATGTTTACAAATACACGATACAACCATTATATCCAAATACACGATACAACCTATATATCCAAATACACGATAAAACCTATATATCCATATAAATACACAATACAACCTATATATCCAAACACATAAAAAAACGTATATCCAAATACACAGCACAACCTATGCATCCAAATACCGGTACACAGCACAACCTATGCATCCAAATACCGGTACACAGCACAACCTATGCATCCAAATATCGGTACACAGCACAACCTATATATCCAAACGAAGTGGCTATAGGGACCCGGGTACCAGAAGTGAGAGGTTGGGATTAAAAAAACTATTTAACATTTTATTGTTGGGTTTGTAAGACAAAATGAGGTATCAAATGAAAGATAATTGAATGGACTATATGTTTGTAAACTTACTTCTTCAGTTTAACTGAAATAAACTATGACAAATGACATCCGAATGGGATTTAGTTTAGAGTAGGGTGACCAAAGGTCCCTTAAAAAACGGGATTGTCCCCTTTTTTCACGATCGTACCCGGTGTCCCGAAAAAGTCTCTCGGGACGCCTTTTTTGTCCCGTTTCTAAAACCAAACACATTTTCAAATCATTAAAATGACTAACACTTCCTAATTTTTTATAATATAACTTCAAGTCATATTTTGGCATTCTTGGCTAGCTGTGTGCATTGTAGCCAGTGCCAGTAGTGATGTGGGCTCGCGTGATGGCTGTAGGCCTACTCTTCCCCCTATATTGTTTTCGTTTATGATATGCCTCAGAGTTTATATTACATTACAAAAGTAAAGGTAGACTTAAAAAGATAAGATTTCTAGGCCTCAAAATAGTTAAAATTAGCTTATTTCAATAAACATTTCCCGGGGAGGCCCCTGAACCCCTTTTTAGCTGGAGGATATCCCCACAAACCCTCTTTGGGTGTGTCCCGTTTTTTTCCAGTTCATGATTTGTTCACCCTATTCTAAAGGGACCCTGGGCACACCAGGTAAGGGGATCTTGCTTGAAATGGTAGCTCGCTAGGTGAAACTGATTGAGAAACGCTGGGCCTAACCGATATGTGGACCTTCTGTCAACAACAGGAAATTGGGTCACGTCACTATTTTTTTTGTTGGTCATATTGCTTACACAGCTGTTAACCTGCAGCGCGCTAATTTATTCATACGAGTTTCCTATAGTGCAAATGACCGAGGGTTCCAGAGAGGGAAACAATGATTCGTTTACTGGGCCTTTGTTCTTGACATCCAGTTCCAGAGAAGCCTTCGGTTCGGGGTTTCCCGCTGGCTTATCAGACATGTTTGTGAGTTCCTCATGTGACTTGGATACAGCTGTCAACACCTTGTTTATCCCTAGTCGCCATTAATGAGTCAAGGTTATCATAATCCTCACAATTCATACATCGGATTGAGTGTCACTGAGTGCTATATAAATATACTTTCAATCGAAGTAAAAGGCAGTCTCTGTCAGTAGTTAACGACATATTCAGACGATTGTGAGCTGGTCAAGTGGATTGACAAGGCGGACTCACGCATGTGAGCTGGTCAAGTGGATTGACAAGGCGGACTCACGCATACAAGCTTTTACTTTTCAAGTACCGGTAACAACAATAATTGCCAATCAAAGAAGTAAGGTAATGTTGAAGACTATCTTTATAATTATAAGTATTTGAAGCGTAGTGAAGTTCATTTCAAAGAAGTAAGGTAATGTTGAAGACTATCTTTATAATTATAAGTATTTGAAGCGTAGTGAAGTTCCATTCAAAGAAGTAAGGTAATGTTGAAGACTATCTTTATAATTATAAGTATTTGAAGCGTAGTGAAGTTCCATTCAAAGAAGTAAGGTAATGTTGAAGACTATCTTTATAATTATAAGTATTTGAAGCGTAGTGAAGTTCCATTCAAAGAAGTAAGGTAATGTTGAAGACTATCTTTATAATTATAAGTATTTGAAGCGTAGTGAAGTTCCATTCAAAGAAGTAAGGTAATGTTGAAGACTATCTTTATAATTATAAGTATTTGAAGCGTAGTGAAGTTCCATGAAATTTTCAAAGCATGCACAAAGGGATATAGATTTTTATAATTGATTGTAACGACATGAATTTGAATAAGTCTTATAACTCTTCATAATAATTTTTTTAAAACGTTTGATGACGAAAATCAAATAAAAACAATGTTTTTCCATGTAGTATAATTAAATTATAGTTTAGGCTCAAATATGCTCCGACTACTGACACTGACTGAATGTGGCCTGCGAGGGGAAGTTATGTAAATTATTAACCCATTCTAAGCAAGCCATTTAAGATTTCGAAAAAAAAATGGAGCAGTTCTTGATTGATTTAATTTATAATTATTTTAAATTAAATTTTAAATGGTGCCGACAGTTCACAAATCATGTATTGCCATGTATTGTGATGTATGCAGTTGAAATAAATTAAATCTAACAATGTGGGTCATCATTTGCGTTTATTTCTTAGAGTGATGTCCCCTATGCCATATTTCTGTTTACATTGCCTTTGCGTAATATTTAAATTTTTCATACGCTTTTGATGACTATTAAGTTTTAAGCAAGTTTATGATGTATCGGTATTGACTAACAATTACAAAGCAAGTTTATGATGTATGCATATTAAGTCTAGGGTTTCTCATTTCTCTGGTTTTTGCTTATCCCGGGGAAAAGGGATAAAATACTATTTTGGTAGTTAACTGCCAATTGCTGTAGGCTGTGTTGTGTAGTGTAGTGTGTAGCCAGTGTAGGCGTGGGACAAAAGAAATTCATCCCGCCGTGATAAATAAATTCAATTAAAAATATGTGTTGATTAAGATGACTACTACAATTACTTAGCAGCAGGAAGGAGAAGTAAAAGAGTTGAGCTAAAAAAAAAAAAATTGGAAAACATCAAAACTGTACTGCCTACCAGTAGGCCCAAAAAATGAATACTGTGCTGATCTACTGCCACTGAGTGGTAGGCTTAAAACTTAAAACACAATTGAATTATTATAATAATGATAATGTGGACAATGTGGTATTAGTATTATCCATGAGCCATGAATGGGCATATAATAAATTTAATTGAATATTCATAAACTAAACATAATGATAATGTTCACCTTTTCTTGTTGTTTCAGACACTGTTGATGTTGTGTGATAAATTTGAGACTGATAAAGTTACAACTGACAGAAAAGTAGATTAAAGAACGTGATTACATCTACACAAATTTCCATTACTGAAGACACAGAATGTCGTACAGAGCTATCCTACCGCAGAGGAACCCAAGTTGTGGGGAAGGATCTATTGAAATTGAAGCTGTAACAAGGAAGCGGATAGATTCAACAAGTGAAAGGAAAGGGAAAAAAACATTTGACCATTCAGAAGTTGTCTCAATGAAACACTCTTATCCAGTAAGTTGTAAAAAATGAGAGACCAGTTGAGACCAGTAGACACCATTTACATTCTTTAAAGTATCAGTTTAAAGGAAACAAGTGTCTTAAACATTGGGGATTGTGTCTTTCAAAATCAGTCTTAAGCTGACATAAAAACAATTTAAGACATCAGGCACTTGAATCACTGAATCATAATATATATCCAAGAATTGATATAATAACCGAGTCTTAAAATTTTTAATTGATGGAAGTAGGTTATAGTTTTTATTGTAGTCTTGTAATTGGGTGGAAAATATTTTATGAAGAACCTTGAACAATTTTTCTACTATCTGCAGTTCCGCTTCCTGGTTCCCCATAACTCCACCCCTGGTCCCTGTAAGTGGATTTACCCATTGACTTATGGTGGAGGTTTGGTGGGTGGAGACAAGATTTCTGCCACCATCAAAGTAGGGGAGGGCTGTGCCGCTGTAGTGTGTACACAAGAATCAACTAAGGTAAACACAGATGACCCAACACGTCCAGTGAAACTGGAGCAGGTGTTTAATTGATTTTTTTTAAGACTGTCTCACGGCATTTGATAACCAAATATTTTATTTATCCTAAAAAAATTATTTGTTTGCAAGAGTAACCAAGAGTAACCAGTGTTTTCCAAACTCTTCAGGTATATCACTGCAACTTGAGTAATGAAACAGTTCAAGAAATGCTCTACATAGTTGAGGACGAAGGACTTCTGTGTATTTTACCAGACCCAACCGTGTGTTACAGAGATGCTAATTTCTCTCAGAAGCAAGTAAGTTTTAGAGAACAAATCTGTATGAATAATTCCGCCTTTTACAGGTGTTTATTTGCAAAATTATTAACATGTCTTCAGCAGTGGTCCTCAAACACCTTGTGCTTTGAAAAATTTATATCTTTTTAATTTCTGTCTGCAAACATTTTTCACATCTCAGACTTATAATTATGAATCCATATAGCTTCATACTTCCCGGTACCTTTGCTTCATATTCACCTTAGCTTCACATTCACATAAGCTTCATATTCACATTAGCTTCATATTCACATTAGCTTCATACTCACCATAGCTTTATATTCACATTAGCTTCATACCCATCTTAGCTTCATATTCCCCTTAGCTTCTTTATTCACATTTGTGTAGAAACATTTGTAAACATTGTACACATTCTATTTTGTTGTACGTAATTGCATGTTATAAAAATATATTATTATATGTTCTGAAACAAAATTGTATGCTTTGAGGCCTCAAAATTATTAGTATTTTATAAAGTTCCGTAATTTAATCTCTTTTTCCCCCTGTGCCATTATTTAGATTGTTCACATGAAACCCACTTCTAGCGTGGTGTTGTTGGACTGGATGCTGGGTGGCCGTGTGGCCCTTGATGAGTCATGGGTCTTTAAAAGGTAACCGCCTCACCTAGGATTATATAAATTCAAAAATCAAATACAGCGATGCTATTATGTTAAGTTCTGATAATAATGGGTCAAGTCAACCTTTTAGGTCAAGTCAACCTTAGGTCAAGTCAACATTAGGTCAAGTCAACATTAGGTCAAGTCGACATTGGGTCAAGTCGACCTTGAGTCAAGTCGACATTGGGTCAAGTCTACATTGAGTCAAGTCAACATTGGGTCAAGTCGATATTGGGTCAAGTCGATATTGGGTCAAGTCGACATTGGGTCAAGTCAACCTTGGGTCAAGTCAACCTTGGGTCAAGTCAACAGTGATTCAAGTCAACATGGGTCAAGTCAACATTGGGTCAAGTCAACCTTGGGTCAAGTCGAAATAGGGTCAAGTCGAAATTGGGTCAAGTCGACATTGGGTCAAGTCGACATTGGGTCAAGTCAACCTTGGGTCAAGTCAACATTGGGTCAAGTCAATATTATCAAATTACTTGTAAAAATACACACAAAAAAAGATATTTTAAAAGGGGGGCATAAAAGTCTATGGATGATATTACAATATTACAACCCGCCGCCCCCCCCCCCCCCTTTTTTTTTTTCAACCAGCCTTTGCTCTGAAATAACTTTATAAAATTTGTTTTCTTAAATACCAATAGGTATTGCAACTCGATTGAATTTTACCTATCTGAGGAGTTGGTTATCAGGGAGTGCACTGAGCTTGAAGATACTCCAAACAAGACTGTAGTGGAGGCAATGCAAGGATTTCAGGTGAAATATAAATAAATCTATTTAATATTCTGAAGGATAAAGCTCAAAGATAGACCTAGGCTTAGGTGGAAGGATAAAGCTCAAAGATAGACCTAGGCTTATTGGGGAGGATAAAGCTCAAAGATAGACCTAGGCTTAGTTGGGAGGATAAGGCTCAAAGATAGACCTAGGCTTAGGTGGAAGGATAAAGCTCAAACTGTCACACTTTCTTAGACCTCCACCCCCACCCCCCCCCCCCCCCCCCCCCCCTTTTTTTTTTTTTTTCTTCCGGAGCATGATGTACTTTATGGACGGCCCCTTTGTTGAAAAAACATTCATAATGAGGCACAAGGTCAATTCTCAATATAATTATAAAAATGTATTTGAAATTCTTGCCTCTCCTATTGCAGGTGTATGGTACATGCATAGTCCTTGGGGAAAATCTCTCAAGTTTGGTCGACAGTCTCTCAGACAAATATGGCAGGAAAAAGGATATTGGTAAGGTGAAATCCTCACACACAGAACAAGCTATGCCTTGAATATCACACAAGAGCATCTATCCCTTCTATGAACAACAACTGAAACTAATGGGTAATTTCCCCTTACACAAATACGTCACAACACTCTCCACAATCAATACAGCTACACATGAAAAAAAAATAATCATCTTGTCCCTAACAAACATGACAACAGTGATCTACACATAACAAGAGTGATTCTCATACCCTTGACACTGCTGAGGTATGCCACTACATTCTATCAGCTGCTTCAATGGCCAGGTATGCCACTACTTTCTATTAGTTGATTCAGTGGCCAGGTATGCCACTACTTTCTATCAGCCGATTCAGTGGGAGCTCTCTGCCGGGTTGGGTTTCTATTCTCCTTATCCTTCTCTATGTTGTTCTGCATCAGGTCTCTTTTGATGTTTAGTGGTTTTTATTTTTCTTGAGCTGTCCATCCTTGGGCGGTCATGGGAAGCTAGCTTGCCGACATTCCACAATCATAACCAAGTAAAATGATTGTGCTGATATTCTACAAACATGACCTAGCTGTCTCCAGCGACATGCCTGTGATGATTATCAGTCTTGATCTCAGTCGTTCATTGGAGGTTGTCTATTGCCAGAAGATTCTATAGATCCTTCACTGCCATTGCTCTGGAACACTTCCAGCTGTACTCTGATGTATTATAGGAGCATGCTCTCTTTAGTATCAAGGCAGTTAATTTCTTAGTCATTTTGTAATTTAATACATTTCTAAATTTGCCTTTTGTCATTTATTACATTTCTAAATTTGCCTTTTGTCATTTATTACATTTCTAAATTTGCCTTTTGTCATTTAGTACATTGCTAAATTTGCCTTTTGTCATTTAGTGCATTGCTAAATTTGCCTTTTGTCATTTAGTACATTTCTAAATTTGCCTTTTGTCATTTATTACATTTCTAAATTTGCCTTTTGTCATTTAGTACATTGCTAAATTTGCCTTTTATCATTTTAAGAGGGGATTGATAAAAAAACCTTGATGCTTACAGGTGACAAAAAATGACCAAGATTTGTTAAAAAAAATGACCAAGATTTGTTACTTACAGGTGAAAAAACTGACCAAGATTTGGTAGTGAGCATCAGCCAGACAAAATATACTGTGGAAGGGGAGACCACTGAGGGGTGTTATCTCAGATTTTTGGCAACAAACGCAAAGTCTGTGAGTAACTTTCTCTTGTTTTTTTTTTGTGTCTTTTTTTTTTTAATAGTATGGCAACCTTGACCTTTAAAGTAAAAAAAAATATACTGTTTATCTGAAAGACAGTTTGATTTAAATCTCACCCTAATGTTGTATTTATTTAAATCTCACCCTAATGTATTTATTTAAATCTCACCGTAATTTTGTATGTATTTAAACTTTCTCTTGTTTTTTTTTTGTGTCTTTTTTTTTTTAATAGTATGGCAACCTTGACCTTTAAAGTAAAAAAAAAATATACTGTTTATCTGAAAGACAGTTTGATTTAAATCTCACCCTAATGTTGTATTTATTTAAATCTCACCCTAATGTATGTATTTAAATCTCACCGTAATGTTGTATGTATTTAAATCTCACCCTAATGTTGTATGTATTTAAATCTCACCCTAATGTTGTATGTATTTAAATCTCAGCCTAATGTTGTATTTGAGCCATTCCTTTAAGTTCTAATGTTTGATTCTTTCAATTTGTAAAGCATCAATTGGTGAATAGTGTTCACTTTATTTTGTGTTACCAGGCTGCCAGAGTGATTCATGACATAACTGACCCTTTACTTGACATCCTGGGCGCTGACCCTTTTGAGAGGAAACTGTAACTCAGCTGGACATGGGTGACCATGACAAGGCTGATGAGGACATGGGTGACCAGGAAGTCACTGACTAAAACCAGGCTGACCAAGCCTGCTAACATAAATAGTCATGACTGAAGTCTGAGTCGTGTTTGATATGTAATAATTCAATGATCCATCTGGTCTGGTCAAAGCTCATGTTGGAAGTGTTCAGTGACGTGTCTGGTCAAATCTCATGTTGGAAGTGTTTAGTGACCCATCTGGTCTGGTCATATCTCATGTTGGAAGTGTTCAGTGACGTGTCTGGTCATAATTCATGTTGGAAGTATTCAGTGACGTGTCTGGTCAAATCTCATGTTGGAAGTGTTCTGTGACGTGTCTGGTCATAACTCATGTTGGAAATGTTCAGTGACGTGTCTGGTCATAACTCAAGTTGGAAATGTTCAGTGACGTGTCTGGTCATAACTCATGTTGGAAGTGTTCAGTGACGTGTCTGGTCATAACTCAAGTTGGAAGTGTTCAGTGACGTGTCTGGTCATAACTCAAGTTGGAAGTGTTCAGTGACGTGTCTGGTCATAACTCATGTTGGAAGTGTTCAGTGACGTGTCTGGTCATAACTCAAGTTGGAAGTGTTCAGCAGAACTTTGGATCACCCTCTCTTTTAAAATCGTTTTGACTTCTGTTATGCCAAGAAATTGCACTGTAATGTGATGTGAAAGTGCGGCAAGTCTCGAGCAACATGCCATTCTTTCTGTTGCCCAGCTGGATAAGTTTGTTGCCCAGCTGGATAAGTTTGTTGCTTCGTTATTTCTTCAAAATGTTTTCAAAGTAAAAAATTTGATGTCAGTGTTGACACTTATTGAATGAATAATTTTACTCTTGTATGTGATGCCTGCAAATGAAATCATGTACTGGTATCAATTCAAATATCATTTATCCTTGTTATCAAGGTGATGTGTGTTGCAATATTATGATTTTCTTATACTTAAATCAGTATTATCTTTCATTTACTTTTACAAAATCCAGCCAATCATTTGCTTGTACCAATCCAGGCAATAATTTGCTTAAGCTTTATTTGTGTAGCTGTAAAGCTGCTTTATCCTCAGCATATTTATGATTTAATTCATGATAAACCTTGTCTTTATATTGTTCGGAATTATTTGTGTTTATGTACTCAGTACTGTGCTATTTATAGTTAATTTCATCCAATAATTGACCCCCTACTTGTAGTCATTATTTATTTTCTATCCCTTATACCCACCCACCCCCAGCCCCGGCTCGTTTATGCAGCCCTCCCAACCCTATCTAAAGTAGTACATTCCCATCCTGCCTCCCAACCCTATCTAAAGTACTACATTCCCATCCTGCCTCCCAAACCTATCTAAAGTACTACATTCCCATCCTGCCTCCCAACCCTATCTAAAATACTACATTCCCATTCTGCCTCCCAACCCTATCTAAAGTACTACATTCCCATCCCGCCTCCCAACCCTATCTAAAGTACTACATTCCCATCCTGCCTCCCAAACCTATCTAAAGTACTACATTCCCATCCCGCCTCCCAACCCTATCTAAAGTAGTACATTCCCATTCTGCCTCCCAACCTTATCTAAAGCACTACATTCCCATCCCGCCTCCCAACCCTATCTAAAGTAGTACATTCCCATCCCACCTCCCTATCTAAAATTTTACATTCCCATACCGCCTCCCAACCCTATCTAAAGTACTACATTCCCATCCCGCCTCCCAACAACATCCACAGTACTACATTCCCCTCCCCCTAACTAAATTTACATCATTCATTAAACCCCTTCTTCCTCATCAGCCTCCCTAAACGTACCCTCTTTTTACTGAACAACCAGCTCCCCTTTCCCTGCCATTTACCATTTAATATTTTTCATTTTCTTTTAAGGATTACGCATAATACTCCTATAAGAAAATACATTATTATAAGATACTATTTATAGTTGTGTGAAATTAAAATATTGTGCCATTTTAAAATAAAATGTTAACCTCATACAACTTTTTGCGTTAAAAGTTTTTATTCTTTTTTCTTCAATTTTACCCCATCTGGGGCATAGGCCGTCCACAAGAATTTTCCATTCATCACGGTCCTGTGCTTTCCAGTTGCTTCCAGGTGTATCCCATATTTTGTGTGCCTGCCTCTAAGCTTGTGTCTCTATGCATTCTTCGGTCTTCCTCTCTTTCTTATTCCCTGTGGGTTCCACATTAGCGATTGTCTGGTGATGCTATCTGGGGGTTTTCTTAGAGTATGCCCAATCCTAATATCTTTTTTTAGTCCTTGTTAAATTTATTGAACAATTTATTCTGATGTTCTTCGCCCACTGATTTTTAGGCTATGGTCAAGGAAATGTACTCCCATTGGCTGCTTCTTTGGGAGTTGTCTGAATCATAAGGTTCATATTTTCTGCCCTTATATTCATCAGGTCCTTTTGGAGCTTCTGCAGTACTCATCTGGAGTTGCCCATTTTATAAACTTGGTGGCATTCTACTAAAGTAGTAACCTCCTGGGTGATGCATTTTGTAAACTTGGTGGCATTCTACTACAGTAGTGACCTCCTGGGTGACACATTTTGTAAACTTGGTGGCATTCTACTACAGTAGTGACCTCCTGGGTTGCCCCTTTTGTAAACTTGGTGTCACTCTACTACAATAGTCACCGCCTGGGTGACGCATTTTGTAAACTTGGTGACATTCTATTACAGATCTGACGTAATCATCAATAACAAGCATGCATGCTTTTGTTTCCCCTCTTTTCATCCTAGGAGATCATCATTGCCAGGAGGATCTTTAAGATGTTGCCAAGAATATGCTCTACAAAACTATTTGGGCTATGTTTACTAGTAACTATTGCACAGACATGAAATATTTGGTTTAAAAAAACAAATGACCACTGGACAGACATGAAATATTTGGTTTAAAAAAACAAATGACCACTGGACAGACATGAAATATTTGGTTTAAAAAACAAAAGACCACTGGACAGACATGAAATATTTGGTTTAAAAAAACAAATGACCACTGGACAGACATGAAATATTTGCTTTAAAAAAACAAATGACCACTGGACAGACATGAAATATTTGGTAACAAAACTAGTAACATCTTAAAATATTTATTTGGTTTGGAATAAATAATTAATTACAAATATTGTCATTAACAAAACACTACTATTATGATTGTTGCACACAATTCACTTTTATGCATCATTCTCTCAAAGCAAAGGAATTTTGTGTTAGTATGAGTGACTGTTTGACTGATTACTATTGTGATAGTATGAGTGACTGGTTGACTGATTATTATTGTGATAGTATGAGTGACTGGTTGATTGATTATTATTATTGTGTGTAGGCTATTCACTGAACTATGTGACCTGATTGTGCTGTGCTGTTGTCATGTTGTGTTACTGGAGGTGGTGAGTTGTTTTCATGAATGTGTCAACTTAAATGTGTGAATATTGTTTGGAGAACTGGAGTGAGTGATCATGTGATGTGGGGTATCAAAAGAATGTCCAATGAGGAATAGATTCAGACCACAGCCCTGAGTTCAGACCACAGCCTTGAGTTCATATCTTATACTATTAAAAATATTTAAAAACTTGATAAATTTTAATGAATTACACAGGACAAGATTATCTGATGAAGTAATGAAACTTGATATAAAAATAGAACTTTGGTTGGTATTTTGGTTTACACATGAAAGACTATCTTAATAAAGTCTATTAAGTATTATGTTCAGAGTCTATATTTACAACACAATTTTTTGTTCTTTCTGCTTCTATTATACGTTTACTTACTGGATAAGTGTTAAATGATATTGGCGCAAATAGTACTAGATAAAATATGTATGATGAATACACTTTACACATTGTGGTGACATAGTTTAAGTTAAGTGAAATGTCAAAAGGGATCTTATTATAACAAAAACTTGAACAGATCCACATATAGATTTTAATAGAGTTTCCTTTTGTGATCATCTTAGCAAAGTAGTGTTTGATTCATAATACCAGAGCAAAGTAGTGTTTGACTTATAACACCAGAGCAAAGTAGTGTTTGACTGATAATATCAGAGCAAAGCAGTGTTTGACTCATAATACCAGAGCAAAGTAGTTTTTGACTCATATAATACCAGAGCAAAGTAGTGTTTGAATGATCATACTACAGCTGTATATTTTTAGTAAAACTATTATATCAGATATATTTTTCGGACTGTAACAACATTGTAAAAATGGGAGCAGTAGGTCACAAAACAAAATTGGAACTGTAGGTCACCAAACAACATAAGAGCAGTAGGTCACCAAACAAGGTTGGAACAGTAGGTCACCAAACAACATTGTACTGTAGGTCACCAAACAACATTGAAACTAGGTCACCGAACAACATGGGAACTGTAGGTCACCAAACAACATTGAAACTAGGTCACCGAACAACATGGGAACTGTAGGTCACCAAATAACATTGAAACTAGGTCACCAAACAACATCATAACTGTAGGTCACCAAACAACATGGAAAAATTAAACACATGGGGACACATTAATCACATAGTGCCTAAGCAGTAAGTGTCTGTAAAAAATTATTCAGTTTGTTAGCAATGATATATAATTTAGTCTTTTAAACAGTGGACATTTTACTGATTGCGTTAGGGACATTTACAATTGAACTGACTTATTTGAATTGCAACAAGTTTTGGGCTATACAATAGGTCTTTAGCCATTACCACTATTTTAGGTGATTAGACACTACCACATTTTTATCTGTTTAAACCCTACATTTTCATTTTTAAACCACAATTGTATGTGTTTAGTCACTACCACAATATTTTAATTTATGTCTTGATATCATTACAGTGTTGTTTTAAAAATTTAAAAATAGATATAGCCTAGGTATTAAAATATGACATCTATAAATATGAAGTACTGGTACTGCTTCACATTTTAACATTGAGCAGAATTGCCCAGTTGGTGGTCAAGATCAAGCCATTCACGATCCTTTGCGTATAAAAACAAGTTACTGGCCGGCACTAAAATCACTTTGCGATAAGGCACAGTGAAGAGATAATCTGAACTTGCCTAGCAACTGACCATTGAAACATATTAAAGTTCAGCAATAAAACAATTGTTGCAATATAGGATCAACACACTGGCCAGGTACATGGTCAAGCTGAGACATAGATGTAGTTCTACAGTAGAAATAGAGGTATTGTAGGTTCTTTTGAAATAATCTGCAGGAGTGGACCTTGCTTGGGACACAACAATTTTTAAGGTATTATTTCATGTTATTGTTTTCATTATTTTTGATCATTGTTCTCATCGTTATCATTATCCTTAGGACTGTCATCACTGTCCTCAGTATTTGTATCATCCATCTCAAAGTCATCGATCATCACAGTAGGTAAGACAGGGCCGATAACTCTGCATGTATCTAAAACTTGAGAACCCCTGCTGAGCTTAAGCAAACTTGCTTGTAGAGTTCCCAGTGCTTGTGAGGCCTCGTCATGAGGAGCAGAAGGGTCATCAAGAGTTGCCCCTCCTTTATTTTCTGCTCCCTCTTCTGCTGCGAAATCATAAAAATCCCACACTGGTGTCTCGGGACGGGAACCCACAGCAGACCCAGTTTCAGATGAGTGACTGTAGAGTCTTGACCTGACAACTTCCTCAGCGATTTCATCTTTAGTATCATCATTGTTCATATCAGTCCCTGCCTGCAGAGATTTGACCTGATCAAACTGTGTAATGAGAACTCTGGGTGAGGTTTGTGGAGAGTAAGAATCTCTTTGGATTCCATCACAAACATTTACTATAACTCCATTGTTTCCAACTGCCTGGTTTGAATTTCGATCCAATCCAACCTTAGGAGATTCTGATGCACTGTTCGATATTTTTGAGAGAAACTCATTTGGAATTATTCTCTTCTTGCCACTTGCAGCTTGAGACGGTGCACTGTCTTCCTTGCTTTTGTTTTCTAAATCGCATTTCAAGCCAGCTTCTTGTGGATTACTGTGATCCTCCCCTGACTCTCCGATCGTTTCCTCCACCCTGATCACAGTAAACTTTCCGCTAACACGTCGAGTCGACGAACCGCTGTCAGAATTTTCACCGCTTTCGGAACTAGAACTTCTTTCCAACATCTCGTTGGGAATAATTTTCTTCTTTGCTCTCGTTTGAATAGTTTCACTTCCATTAGACAAAACACTTGTAGATAATTGCAAATTATGGCCCCTAATTTCTTCGAATGGGGACATGTCATCATCATCAGTATGCAAGGATCCTTCATCAACTGTTACTGCAAGAGATGTGGAGCTCCTCTCAAAGCTGGACTTCACACCAATACTGCTGCCCACACCATCGTCGTAATCGTCAGAATCAGATAGCTCTAAGGAAGAAAACCTTTGCATAAAATTGTTTAATTTTTCAGAATCCTTCCCGGAGAAAGAAGCCCTGTGCTTAGAGTGAAAAGAACTTGACCTCGACAGCGATTGGTTGAGCCATGAAGGAGACGACGACTCATACATGAGGTCACGTGCGCTGTAGACCCTCATGCTGTTGGGGATGGTGTGGTTCATACATGGGATTAGAGGGTATTTCTCCCGTAAATGTCTGTGCACAGCAGTGCGTAGAGGCAGGTGAACCATGCCCATGAGGTAAGTTTTGTGCGTCTGTTTTTGGGTCATGTACACCTCCAGCTGTAGACTGCGTTCAGCAATAATGTCACGTGTTACCCCAAGGTAAAGCAAAGGTGTGTCAAATCTGGAATTTAAAAAAAAAAAAATTATTTATTTTAATATATCCAACCATCTGATAAAATCATAATATTTTTCATAAAAAAATAAATTTTTGCGTTCCTTACAGATAGGGCTCTGACTAAACTTGCAAACTTGAAAGCACTGATTACTCCATGTCGAGTATGGGAGTTCAATAACAAATGACTTAGCTGAATGAAGATGTAAAGATGTAGGATGTAGTATGACAGTCACCTGACATACCTGAATGGAAAAGGTGTTAAAGATGCAGGATGTTGCATGACAGTCAACCGACTTACCTAAATGAGGACGGCGTAAAGATGTAGGATGGCAGTCGCCTGATTTAAGAAGCTGTAAAGATGTGCTGTATGACTGTCGTCTGACTTACCTGAATGAGGAAGGTGTAAAGATGTGCTGTATTCCATTTGAAGGTGCATGGGATATTATGTTTCCATCCTTGGATGTTGTTTCAACTTTGACATATTCCGTTTGTCTGTCAGTTTTTTTGCTTGGGTCTGGGATGAGGTAACTCCTCACAAAGATGGATTCAATCATTGAAGTTTGGGCTAAAAGTTAAAAAAAATGGATTCAATCATCGAAGTACGGGCTAAAAGTTAAAAAATCACTATTATTTAAAAAAAAAATTCATTGCATGTATTGTCAGACTATTATAAGGGCCGTGTCTTAAGTTTTAAATGAATATAACATAACAATAACAATGCAAAATACTTAGATGCCCTGGACCATCTTCACCACGTCCCACCAAACCATAAGATCTCTGTACTATGACCACCACGTCCCACCAAACCCTGAGACCTCTGTACTATGATCACCGCGTCCCACCAAACCCTGAGATCTGTGTACTCTGATCACCACGTCCCAACAAACCCTGAAATCTCTGTACTATGATCACCACGTCCCATCAAACCATCAGATCTCTGTACTATGATCACCACGTACCACCAAACCATGAGACCTCTGTACTATGATCACCACGTACCACCAAACCATGAGACCTCTGTACTATGATCACCACATACCACCAAACCATGAGACCTCTGTACTATGATCACCACGTACCACCAAACCTTGAGACCTCTGTACTATGATCACCACGTGCCAACAAACCATGAGATCTCAGTACTATGATCACCAGGTCCCACCAAACCCTGAGACCTCTGTACTATGATCACCACGTTCCAACAAACCCTGAGATCTCTGTACTATGATCACCACTCCCAACAAACCATGAGATCTCTGTACTATGATCACTACGTCACAACAAACCCTGAGATCTCTGTACTATGATCACTACGTCCCAACAAACCATGAGATCTCTGTACTATGATCACCGCTCCCAACAAACCATGAGATCTCTGTACTATGATCACCACGTCCCAACAAACCCTGAGATCTCTGTACTATGATCACCACGTCACACCAAACCATGAGATCTCTGTACTATGATCACTACGTCCCAACAAACCCTGAGATCTCTGTACTATGATCACCACGCCCAACAAACCATGAGATCTCTGTACTATGATCACTACGTCCCAACAAACCCTGAGATCTCTGTACTATGATCACTACGTCCCAACAAACCCTGAGATCTCTGTACTATGATCACTACGTCCCAACAAACCCTGAGATCTCTGTACTATGATCACCACTCCCAACAAACCATGAGATCTCTGTACTATGATCACCACGCCCACCAAACCCTGTGACCTCTGTACTATGATCACCACGTACCACCAAACCATGAGACCTCTGTACTATGATCACCATGTGCCTCCAAACCGTGAGATCACTGTACTATGATCACCACGTCCCCCCAAACCATCAGATCTCTGTACTATGACGACCACGTCCCACCAAACCCTGAGATCTCTGTACTATGATCAACACGCCCCACCAAACCCTGAGATCTCTGTACTATGATCACCACGTCCCACCAAACCCTGAGATCTCTGTACTATGATCATCA